TCGTATTCCGTTAGTTTCGGTCACTTCCTGTTTCACCGGAAATGTATACGAGTACAACATTTGATTTTTAAATGGTACCCTCGGTATTTTTTATACTTTATTTGATAGAAAATGACATTCTGAATAGAATGACATATATCATATGTCAACTTTTGACATTTTCAATTAAAAAAAATAGCATTTTAAAATTCAATCTAGTGTCATGGCTGTGTTAAAACCATTAATTTTTAATCAAGGAGCTTCGGAAAAATTGATTTGATCGTCTAATATTTTTTGTCTTTTCCTTTTTGGTCCTGGTAAATAGGTAATTTGGTACCACACACTTCGTATATCGAGTCAAACTGTCGTTACCTTTACAACCGGTTACATGTTGTTTTTTATCATGGCACTCTAGATTGTAATTTAAAATACAATTTTTTTGAGTAAATATGTCAAAAGTTGACATTAAATCATTCTATTCACAATGCCATATTCTGTCAAATAAAGTAAAAAAATACCGACGGTACCATTTAAAAACCAAGTTGTAGTCATTTCAGGTGAAACAAGAAATAACCGAAACTAATTGAATACGTCAATCAAGCCACGTTTGAAAAACACCCGGTATATTATAATTTCTTCTGATAGATTTTACAAAATTCTTCAATTTCTATTAATAATGTCATATAACTATATAAATTACTTTAATGCTTAATAATAAATAATTTTTGTTTTGTCATGGCAAAACTTGTTATAGTGTAAATGAAGTAAAAGAAGGATAAAAGTTGAAAAATTCAGAACAGATTGCAAGCTGTATAGAGTATAGATGTACTTAATATACTTTCTTAACAAATGTTGAAAGGTTTTGTAAAAGCACTAGAAAAAATAATAATATATAGGATCAGCCAAAAAAATCTGTTTGAACACAGTGTAGCATCTAACTCCAAGTATTTTTACATATATCTTTTTCTTCACCTCTGTAAAACACTCCTACCAAATTTGGGTAGCCCAACTTCGGAAACAACTGACAATTATGTAACATAGGAATAATTTTTTTTGCAAATACTAACGTTATTTATAAAAAAAAAGTTATAGAATTTTAGGCAGAATCGAAAATAAAATAAAAGTTATAAATAAGAGTTTTGCATTAAAAAACATGTTACATTATATCCGCCACATTTTTTGAAGCACCCATTATACTCAAAAATAATATTTGAACTGTGTCTCTTAAGATTCTCTATACCCTTTTTTTTTGAATTCCCAAAACAAACGAGATAATTAACTTTATTTATTTCCTGATATCTCATTTTATAATATTTCGGAAGAATCAATCAGGTATCTTATTTTTATAATTATTAGAAATAAATCGGATTTAAAGGATAAGAGATATGTAAGTGTATACCATACGATAAAAAAACGGCGTCAGAGGTGGCTTGGAAATGAATATCGATGTCATATATTTGTACATAAACAAATAGACGCCGTTTTTTTTCGCTCATACCATATAAGAAAACAAATTTAATAAAACAAACGCATTTATTAATATATGTATATAGATTTACATGGTATGAAAAATTCGCATTATAATCTCTGAAGGTCCTACCATGGTCCCAACAATGGTTGGTTAAAGTGGCGAGTACGACCACTTATCAGTCACACCTATAATAATTTAATAAAATATACATATAATAAACAAACTTATTTCTTTTAGATTTTTTAAAAGCGAGTTATATGTGTTAAGTGGTTTTTGATTATTTTAGACTAAATTTTTTAGACATATGATTATTTTAAACCAAATTGTCTGCCCACTCAAACGTCTTTCAAAATTATAATGTAGGAAATTCTTAATATGTTTTAATTGGGAATACTTTTAGAAAGTTTCATTTTCACCAAACAAAACTACGTATGTAATCAACTATAATGCATGATATATACTGGTGGCGTCAAAACTAGATGTTGGGTTTTTCTCGATTATTTCAAAGAGAACTCCACATTTTATGACATAAACGTAGTTTTCTCCAACTTTGTTTTGAAAAATAATTTTTAAATCCAATAATCGATATTTATACAGTAATGTCCTGTTTTGGAATACATAATTATTTTCAGCTGCAGCGATAAAATAAATAATATTTACTGATACGCTAAGTAAAAAAATAATTAGGAAATTATTTTAGACATCTAATTCTTAATTTTTGTCGCTGATAAATATGTAGATACATCACTTTTAACGACAAACCTACTAATAAAAATTGCGAAAAACAAATCATGTTTATTCTCAAAGAGACAATTTTGAGAACAATCCAATAACTATTAATCTGGGATATAGATCTTAACAAAACAAAAGTTGGATAAAAGATTTGTTGATTTATGATATAAAATACAGTGTTCCATTTGAAATAGCAAAGAAAAATATAATATATAGTTTTGACTCATCCTGTATATAATACAAAAAAAATAATATAAAGAAAATTTAATCATATAAATAATTTAGGAATTTAGCATATTTTTATATAATTATATGAAGAGAACATTACCTTAAATTAGTTCCAGTAAAAAACTTCCATATTACTTATTTTTAACTTAGAAAGGGCTTTAAATATATATTTTATTATATAAACAAAAAAATTTAATCCAAAAATGGTCAAAATGAACTCTATACGATTACGACATTATAGTATTTTCTGGAATGACAATTTTTTGACAAATTCACCAAGAAAAAATAAAAAATATAGCTTTTCTTTTGACAAACTATACAACTCTAAAGTAAATATGTATTTAAATCTACGAATCATCCTGTATATCTATAAAAATACCTCCCTGTCAAATTTACGCTACTTTTGCATGCAAGCATACCTATTTTACAAAAATATGATTTGAGTGAAAATATAAAATAGGAAATCTGATATGAAGCTTTATCTAAACACAGGGTTGAGTGTAGATAAACAATATTTTACGTTATTAATTAAGAAAAATTATAAAATACACAATATATCTGACAGTTCCAAAAAAGCAAAGTAAGAAATGAAACATAATTTATAGCATAAAATCAGTATTTTTTAAATTTTTAAGTCAACTGGCCATTATCGTTTAATCTATCTATCAATCTATCAAATTTAATGTTTATTATTAAACTTATCTCAGACTCTCTATGAGGTAAAACTCTAAGATAAAAACACTAAAAACCAAGAGTGATTTAAAACAAATTTATATGAATTTAGAAATAAATATGAACAGTATTTACCAAAGACATCTAAATATAGGTAGACAGAACACTCCATTCATAAAACTCAATTTTTTAGAATCATACATGGTTTGGCACTTTTATGAGAGTTAAAAAGAGATGGGTACATAAATATGACAACACGGTTGAGTTTCGTCTGTCTTTCTGTCATTTCACTCCATCAGTGGCGTGACGGTGGTGTGGTGTTTTTTTATCAAAAATTTTAAAATAGTTATTTTGTGTATTTTAATTTAAATTTTAATTTGTAATATACGTAGTAATATCGATAATATACAATGTAGGGGCGTTTGCACCAAGTTTTTTAAGCAAAACTTAACACTATGTTTAGCTTATTTTCTTGCACTATGCTTTAATCTAACTTGAATTTATATTTAAATTAAGCGGTCAAATTTCCAGGCTAGTGGTCACTTAACCTATCTTAGACACAAAAATATTGTTTTACGAGGAAGAATTATTGTTATTCCTTTGAGAAAGCTAAAAAATGTATTATGATACCTCTACGTAAGTTCGATGATTACTTTTGATATCCTAGACGTCGATCAGTAGGTATATTCATTGAAAATGGATTTCCTCAAGAATGGATGTAAGGAAAAATCATATTGCCAAGAAATGAACCTCCTTAAGTTTTTAGGACAGAGACTTTTAAACGACACTGTAATATATATCATTATTAATTACCTCGGTTTAATTGAACAAAATCTAGAATATCAAAATGAGAGGTAAGTTGGAATGCTAGTAAATCTAATGTAAGATAAATTAATTATATTTATACTTTGAACCATTGTTCTTTAGTATTTCCAGAAACAACAGCATAACTGCCATAAATCAACAACAATTTTATAGTATATTTGGGTTTCCTGGGATTATAGGGATAGTTGATGGAACACAATGTAAGAAAACATTCACCTGGTAAGTACCTATATATTTTCTTCAATATTTATCAGCACAAGGTTTCTTATACTTTACAGGGGGTATTGATGGAGAGGTATTAGAAATAGAAAAGCATTATTTTCCCCAACATTTAAATTACTGGAAATGCTAGTCTTAAAACTATAGACTTGATTGCTTGTTGGCATGGGTCTGTGCATGAAGCCACCATTTTTGGACATTAAGGACCCGCTTGGGGACTGGTGACTTTTCAAATTAAATCCTGCTTGGTTAGTGGTCCGTATATTTACTTCTGTTAGATCATTTATATAAAATATATTCCTTAAATATTTGAGTAGGTATTCAATTTAGAAATATATTACGAATAAGATGAACTGAAAGAAATTTTTTAAAATTAAATGTGATAATATTCAAAGGGTTCATATACTCTATTAAATTATTTTATTATCTGTTATAAGGTGAGATTGCATATGCATTGAGGGGATATATGCAGAAATAGAGCTGAAGAAATGTTTCAGAATTATCGTTATATGGAAACGCCACTTTCCAATATGTGTTTTATGGTATAAGACCAAAATTACAAAACACAATGTCAGTTATTGTTGCACAACAGTGAGTTAAGAAAAATATTATCTGTTTAATTATAGAACAAAATTTAAAAAATTTAATGTATGTACTTAAATTTTTAGATTTTGTTGTTTCAATGTGCTACACAATACAGCCAGAATGATGCCTGAACAAGAGCTGCCGCCGTTAGATGAAATAAATATGGACCAAATTAATAAGAAGAGAAATAATAATTAGTTTGAAAGATTAGGGCAATATTTTTTTTTAACTTATTCTAAACATGTTTTTATGTTGTTATTAAATCTCTTGAGTATTAATTTCTATAAAATATCATTATTAAATGTCTTTTATTCAGAAATAACATATATTACATTTTTTACATGACAATATAAACACTAATTAAAATTATTAAATAAGTTCTCTTTGAGAACTTTACTGTTCTTTTTTTATTTCAATGTCTAACAACCCTTTTTTTCTTTAGCTTATGTTCTTCTCTGTTTTGAATACTACTACTTTGAATTTTGCCCATCTCCATATTACAAAAGAACAGCCTTTTGTCTAGTAAATTAGTATCATCCCTTTTCTTCTGTTTCTTTGTAACCATCAGTTTTGTTTTGAGACTGAAAAAATATCTAAATATATTGAATTCTCTTCAAAGTAATAAAAAATTCAAAAACACAATGAAAGGTTAGTACTTACAATACCAGTACTCCTATTAGTTTTAGACAATCTATCACCATCATGTTTTTTAATCCCACAATGCTCTTCTCATTTTTACATTAATTGAATATATTATTATCTTCCGTTTTTGCTTTTTGTATACGTGGACCTCCACCAGTTAGTCAAAATATATTTCAATAATTGATTTTCTTTTACATAGTATTTATACATACGTTGTAAGCTTTCCATACAAATTAGAAAGCCCAAAAATCCCGTTTTTCTTTGTGACTATGGTTGACCTTTCTTTTAAAGTAAGTCCAATAATATACAATTTAATTATTTCAAAATTATTAAAAAGTATGTTGTTCTTATATTTTTGATAATTTTTTTATATGAATATTTTGTAAATCCATTCTGAGAGTTAAAAATATCAAAAATATTGTTGAAAACTAAATGGAATTTAGAGGCCTCCTAAGAAAACTCTGGGCCAGTTTATGTATCCCTTATAAATTCTATGTTTTCGGCGAATAAAATGACAATGTTAAAAAGCAAAGGATAGTAGCAGAAGATTGGATTTTTGTGTGGCAGGTCCTTTTAACATTCTTTCAAAAATACTTTGTACTGGTTCAGCTAAGGAAGCCTAAAAAAACATATATTATCTCTATTAATGTTATATCTCTATAATATTATTATTAGTCTTTTTAGACACATCCAAATTCACTAAAGGGTTTTAAAATTTAGACCTGGCCTTGTCATGGAAATTAGAACCTTCCATTAATCGTATTTATGCCACTGTCATATGGATTAGTGTATCATTCACAAAATTAGACCAGAACTAAATTTAAAACTTGTTAACGAATCTTGGGGACAGATTTTGACATAATGGCTGTAGGACTAAATTATTAAATGGCTGATAACTTAACATTATTATAGTTCCCCTCCGCACGCCACTCAAATATATACAAAAAATAGTGTGTCCAAGATAATAATTACAAGCACTGGGATCTCAGAAACAGTAAGAGATACAGCTTCAATTATTAGAAATTGCTTTTGGCGATTTTTACTTGATTTTTATATTTTTTTGGATCCTCACATATATTACTTTACTTTGACTTATAACCATTATGTTTTTAAAATGTCACCCTGCATATCTATATTCATACCTGAATGGTCAATTCAGTTGATACACTTATCAAAGATTTTTCATTGATATTATTTTATTTTTCAATCTTCTAAGACCTATTTGTAAAGTATGTATTTTTCATTTTCTTTGTTTCCAAATTTTTACAAGACTTAAATTTCTACATAATATCATTATAATGCCTCATTAACATACTTCTTTCTGAAATTAAAATAACTTATGCACAATTTTACTTAAGATACAGGGTGGCGCCTCTTAAATGCTACCAAGGAGAAAGAGTTTGTATTGAAATTAAATTTTGGGAGTATATGTAGGTTAATTTAGAGCATTTAAACATATAAATGTGATAAAATATGTGTTTTTTTAAAATATGGAGTTCTACAGGGTGTCGCCAAAAAAGTTACACAACAAAGTTTTGTTTTTTGGAATGGGACACCTTATATATTATTTGATTTTCGGATTCTATGAGAAAAATAAAGGTGAATTTCATTATTGGACTAAAATGTAATTTTATTCCCTTTTATTTGAAATGAACACAGCAAGTTCCCTTTTATTTGAACACCCAGAATACTATTCCGATCTTTTAATTGCAGTGTGCATTCATCAATTAATAGAATGCTTAAGGTCAAATTTTAATTTGGTTAAATATACAATGAGTAAATTTCCATCTAGGTAGCTGTTATTGAAATTTAAAGTTTATTCATTATTTTCACCAAATGTGAAATATGACAAGCCTTACATTTTAGACATATGCTTCTTTAACGAAACTCACTTTTATTTCTTTCCTAGAATCCGAAAATCAATTAATATATAGGTGTTCCATTACAAAAAAAAAACTTTGATGCATAACTTTGGGGACACCGCGCAGAACTCTTGATATTTCTATAAAATGCTTTCCATTATCCTACATATGCTCCCAAAATTACATTAACGATAAAAACCACCGTTCTCTTTGGAGCCTCCGCGTCGTAGGAGAGGCACCACCTTGTATATAATGTAGAGGTAATTTTTACCTTTTTCTGATACTTTGACGACTTTCTTGAGATAATAAATATCCAACTATTGAGAGATCAGAAGATGAGGATTGTCTTACTATGCTGTAAACAAACAAAAAAACATTAATAATTAATTTTTCAATAAAACCTATTTTCGTTTTTAATTTTTTCCTAAATACTAATAATTTCCTTCTATAGTATTAAATTTATCATTAAGCGAGAATGTTTTCTAGTGCAAAACAAAAGCTCACTCATAGAAAATATATGTAAACAAAAACCAACACTATGGCAAAAATTATGTAGTTTATGATCTTATAATGTGGAAAATAATTCCAAATAACATATCCTTGACAAAACATATAAAATAAAAGATAGCTATGTTAATTATACAGGGTTTCTGGATATTCGACCGATAAAGTCTCGTATTTTTATAAAAATTAAGATAGGGAAGTAAACCCATAAAGTGCTTAATTAATAAGATACAAAGTGATATTAGTAATGTTATATTACGTTATATTGTTCTATTAGATATTATAACAGCTTCCTTGAAATCTATTACTGCTAATGACATAAACAAAGTGTCCCCTTTTCTGCGAGAAAGATAGAGATGTCAATTTTTAAATAATTAAGATGGCAAACAAAAGCAGAAAAAATGTTATTTTGAAAAAGCTCAATGTGTCAAAGTATCCCGTCTACTATAGTTACGTCAAAAGTATGATTAAGAATGTATTTAGATTTTTTACCGCAAAAATTGTGTCTACGAAATTTCGCGTCTCTATTTTTTTAAAGAAATACCTGGATATGTCAAAATTAAACTTACATTGTGACACCCTGTATGTTAAAAAGTAAATACTTCGCAAGAGGGTGTACACCTGTATTCAATAAGGCACAGTACACTACTTGACAATAATAGTTATAATGAGAGTATTTCATTTAAAATATATTACATACTAGTTGAAGCCTGGCGCATCCGCCACGACATCAGGAAAAAAAAATACTTATTATTTTTTTTAATTAAATGAAAAATAAAAAATCCGGCGATGAGCCAATTAGCTATCTTTTAGTAAAAAAAGCAACTTTCTAGAGCAAGTCGTTACTTCAGTAGAGACGACACAGATAAACATTAGCATTTTATATTATTATTATATTATATATATTACTTTGTTATGAATACAGCTATATTCCCATTCTGTTAAAAATACAAGAGCTTTTAAGCCTTGTCAGTCAAACATCCAGAATACACTTACAAAGAGCACATACTGGTTAATTCCAACTTCTTTTTCCAATGCCGTTTCTGTTGTTTTGAGGGAAGGGCTTCTTGAGAAGGGCTAGTTTATCTTGTATGATTTTAGGCAAAATCCTGTGAATTTTAATTAATTATCAATATTAAAATACATGTATAAAATGTATCAATGTTCTTACAAATTTGAGGGGCCAGCCAAACTGCCAATCGCGGGACTAGGTAGGGACCTTCTCTAGTCCCTCAGCTGGTCTGGAGGTTCATTTACCTAAAACATTTTTTGGGTGGCGGTACAAACTAGAAGAAAACCTAGAGTAAATACTAATATTAGTACAATACTTATTTATTAACTGTTAAAATGTATTTGACTGCTTTTTACCTGTATGATAAAGCCCCAGCAAAAATGGTACTATCTATTTGAGGCTCAGAATTTGGTCTTATTTGCCTTCGATCAGTTAATTCGGCGATCATAATATTGCTCTTATCAAAATCATCAGAACAAATTTGGACACACATTAGTTTGATTTTTCAAATTCAAGAGTGAAATCGATCATTGTCTAAGCTCAGTAATTATAGGAACGCTACAAAAGTACTATTGGTTACATATGCAACACATACATATTAAGTATTATAAATCTATTTAATAATATATGTAAAATAATAAAAATATGCGGTAAAAAAAAGGAAAAATTAACCTAAAGGAAAAATTTTCCAAGGTTTATTTTCCTCTATTTAAAACACCAGCTATGTACTCGTCTGTGAATTGTGTGCGTGTGTATGGGTGTATAGGTAAGTGTGGGTAAAAGTGTAAAGGGTTCCAAAACTAAAAAAAAAAATATCATAAATGAAAGAGTAAAGAATTATCATAAGTAAGGCTTATCATTATTATTCAAAACAGTGCATATTTTTTAAGTACTGAAGCATCATTATAATTTTATTTATTTTATTAACTTTTTTAATTTGAATTTTGAATACCTATATCTAAACCTTTCCTATTATATAATTACTTATAGAATTTTTTATAATAAATAAATAATAGATCAATCATGTGTTACGGTTAATATCTAAAACCTGCTAATGTTAACTAGAGTTCAATAATATTAATATTTAGATTGCAAAAACAGTTTTCTTTCAACATTGGGGGAGAAATGTGGAAATTATCTAGCCAAAGTCTGAAGTAATTATAAAATTAAATGTCTTTAGTTGAACATTAGCTAATTTTGTCATACTAATTTAGCATACTAAGCACTGCTTTAGCCATAATAAGGTACATAGTTAATATAGAATATAACTGAATAATTTTGATGTTCAAATCGTGTTCAAATTTCAGGTATTAACTACCTATAACAGCAACAGCTGTTTTATTTCAACAGATATTAGCCATAACATACACAATTTTTAAGATATTTATAGCGGTTTCGAATGTTAGTTGGCACTTAGATATATAATATAAAAAAGGTTTTTAAATGTTAAGTTGAGAACAGCCAGTCAGTGCCTTCTATTAAAAGATCAGCCTGCGGGCGGACTTTTGTTTACTTCATCAGCTGTACATACTTAGATATTGGGTTAGATTCCGTTTCATATTTTGTCGGTTGATTTTTGGTTTTAACTCTTTGATTTTTGGTATTATTTATTATTGTAGTGCAAAAAACTAATTATTTTGGTGTTGAAGTGACATAAACTACTACCAGATATATGGTCACTCTCGGTTTCGCACAAAAAAAAATAGAAATTTTAAAAATTACACGTTGTGCAAGTGATTTAACCTAAAAGTGCCCATACATTTTTTACTTATCGTGATTTTTTGTGTGTGTTTTTAAGACTCTAACAATTCATCAATAAAGCTTAAGTGGAGTGTGTTATTGGTGCTATGCCTCATCTTTGTTGTGTTCCTGGTGGAAAGGATGGTTACTAAGGATAGTTATTATACTAGGCAGCCTAAAGTGTCCGGAAGAGCAAGAAAAGTGGGTACGAGTTATAAATCAAGAGAATTTTATTGAAAATATCTTTAATAAATTTAAAATAATATTCTCCCATGATGGTATTAATGAAAACTGGACAATTATGTTTATTTTATTCATATTGTGGAATCTCCACTCCAAGTGTTGCTGGTTCAGCTTCGATAGATTCAAACACGTAAGTAGGTATTATGATCTAGGGAAAATAAAGAATATGTGTATTAGAGATCATGAAAAAGATTATTATTTTGAGTTCAAATTTTAAAAAGATTTTTGTAAAGACAAGACTGATACAGTTTAAAAGAAGAATGTGTTTTTGTTTGATAATATATAATGTATGTTAAGCATAACATATATTTGTTCAGTAATTTTTAATGAATAGTATTGATTATTTATAATACCAAATTAATATCAAATATTTAAGTGATGGCTGAATACAATATGAATAAAATAACAATAAAATTGGTATATTTGCATAATACAAAATTAAGTTTTAAGAATAAAGGTGTTACTAAAAATACTAAGAAATTCATATTTCTTTGTTTTAATTGGTCTAATGTTATTTACATTTTACGTAAGAATTATACCGTATCATCGAAAAAAATCGGCGTCTAGTTGGCTTGGAATGAACATCGATGCCATTCCCTAAATAACTGTACACATAAAATAATTAACTAGAATTTTACAATCTTGGAAAATTTGATATTCTTGAACCTTGATTCTAAATATTCTAAATTTTTTGATTTTCTTGGAATTTAGGTTCGGGAAAAACGCTGATTGATTTTTCATTTGGTTTTTCATTATTTTTATTTGGTTTAAAAAAAAAAACGGTTCGGCTAACATTATAGCCTCCATCAGTGTTGTGTCATAT